GGGAGGAAGGAGAGGGAAAGAGGATTAAAAAAATTAAGATATGTTTTACATGTACCAACTCCCAGAAGGAATGTAAACATTATGTACTTCAAATGTGCTGATAAAAAAAAGATTTAAAACATTTATAAATAATTGTTTAATAGTTATTTTATTTTGGCCAGGCACAGTGCTGCCTGACTGTAACGCTAGCTAGTTAGGAGGATGAGGCAGGAGAATCACTTGACCTCAGAAGATAAAGACCAATCTGAACAACATAGTAAGACTGTCTCTAAAAATTTTTTTGAGATTACTTTGATACTTAAGGTTACTTTTAAATTATTTAAAAATAACTGGCTGAGTGTGGTGACATATGCCTGTAATTTCAGCACCTTCGGAGGCTAAGGAACGGGGACTGAAAATTTGAACCCAGCCTGGGCAACTTAGTGATTTAGTGAAACCCTGTCTCAAAATAAAGAATAAAAAAAGCTCAGTGAGAAAGCCCTCAGTTCAACTCCTCATACTGCAAAAATAAATAAGTAGTATAATAGGATCCAGGCATGGTGGCGCACCCCTGTAATCCCAGTATTTGGGAGGCTGAGGGAGGAGGATTGCTATGAGTTTGAGGCCAGCCTGGGCTACATAGCAAGTTCAAGGCCAGCCTGAACTACACAGTGAGACCCTGTCTCAAAAACACTAAAAAAAGAATAAAATATGATAGGAGGCAAGGAAAGTAATCAAAATATGTAGCTTCAAATCCCAGCCCCTACCAGTGTCATTTTATAAAAGGGAAGTATTTTGATATACTCACTGCATATGTAGGAAGATAGGACATAATTGCACAATTTCAAAATTGAAAAATGTCAGGTTTATGAAAAACTCATGATTCTTTTCCGATTTTGCTGAAAACCAGTGAAAATACTACTAGGACTGGCATTGATTCTTGGACTGGCATTTGGAAATCATAGATTTCATTTTTCTGAACGTCACTGGGCCATCTGTAAAATAGTCATCCATCCTCTAGTCTGAATTAGCACCTGGCATTATTGGTGCTGACCACTTCGTAGAATCTTTTTTTGAGGTACTAAGATTGAAGTCAGAACCTTCACACTTGGCCTTTTTTATTTTGAGACAGGGTCTTGCTAAGTCACAAAGTTGCCTGGCTGGGCTTGACGTTGCAGTCCTCCTGCTTCAGTCTTCCAGAGTGCTGGGACTACAGGCATGTACGACCACATCTGGCTTTCATAGAGTTTTTTTTTAGTACCGGGGATCAAACAACTCGAGTCCTTGCACTTGCACAGTAGGCAGTGAAACCACTGAGCTAAATCCCCGGCCCTTTCGTAGAATTTTATTTATTTATTTTTTTGGTACTTGGGAATCGAACTCGGGACCTTGCGCTTTCGAGGCAG